TGAAACTCATTCGCGAGCCACGTTCATGATTACCCTGATCTGCTAATGGCTAGCTAGGCGCGTACATATCAGTCAGAAAAACGGCCTTGCGTTCTGCGGCTTGTAGGGACATAAACTCGTAGTATTCTGTCTACAACTTGTACGATTCACGCTTCTCTACTCATCGTACAACAGTATCGTTTAAACTACAACTTGTCACGAGGCTGCGTACTAGTACTATGCGAACAGCGTTCTCTTCGACGACGCTCAGCTAGTCCGAAGTACACGGCTGGAAGATAATCGTACAACAATCACATAGACACGTAGCTAGGATGGTCTCAAGGTATGCGAGAATAACGAACCGCGAAATTATGGAGGGATAATCACTCAACGTTCACGCCCTCTGACCGCTCGCCTCCTGCCCCTCCGACACCTTTGCTGGAGCGAACCGAGTCCACGGCTCCCTGCCCAGGGACAGAAGACAGAGTAGTCCCCTTGAAGGAATCTCCGCTATCAGAGAAGAAGCCAGAGTAGGGCGTTGCAGGACTGAGAGACGCCGGGGTCCTGGCTGAGTATGTGAGCGCCGGCGAGACAACCGGCGAACCCTCATCGTCGGCATCAGTACCCTGCGGGTTTGCAGCTTCGGGTATCCTGGGAGGACAACCGCCAGGAGGATTCCCGCATCCACTGACACTCTGCAGTCCCTGGGTACGGGTTGGCTGTGAAGCGGAAGCTCGCGAGGCAAAGGACGCGGTGGAGACCTTGGACGCAATTTTGGGGGCAGAACGCGAGCCAGCGCTGGGTAGGTTTATGTTGCTCTTGCTGGTGAATAGTGTATGGGTATTCTGTGCGTTTGGACCAAGATTACCTAGAGTCTTGTGACGCGGCGGATTATGGGTGTTGATAGACGAATACGGGATGTTCTTTGCGGTGCCATCGGCGGTGCGAGAGCCGCTCACGATGTTAGCCTGAAGTTGCACGTTACTGGTAGAGTTGAGGTTTGTGCGGCTAGCGCTAGAGTCGTACAAGAGTGGGTTGCCATCGAGAAGGTTACGGACGCCAGAATACTGAGATGGGAGTGTGGATGAGCGAGTATGGAAGGACTGTTCGTCTTCGCCCCCGCGAACCTGCCCGGCGAGAGTGTGGTTGCGTTGACGCGTTGGTTGTCCGGATACGCTTAATTGATGCTCAAGGCTGAGTGGCAGCGACGCGCTCTGCGAATCTCTAAGGTGGCTAAGTGCGCCTGCTTCAACACCCCGCGAAAATGCGGATCCAACGCCCTGCTGATCCTGAAGTAGGCTAGCTGCTGCGTGAAAGTCATCCTCCGACATACGTGGCAGGCAATCGAGTAGACGACGATTGACTTCTCGGGCGTTGGGGGTCGCGCCGCCTAGCCCTGGTCCAACGGGGTTCTGAAGACGTCGTCCATTCGGGAGAGCGGTCCCCGGTGCGTTCGCTTGTTGCCGAGCGTGGGCCTGAAGAATGAGCTGCTCTACGGGGGTATAGCCATGTTGAGCATTAGCCCGGACGCCCTGTAGACCCAGCAAAGCAAGCCGAAGCTGAGCCTGATCGTCGTCGGCCAACCCATTGACGCTATCGGAGGGGATCTGGAGTGGTAGACGTAGATCCTGTCCATGAACGTGAGACAATTGAGCGTGGAGCCCGTCGAAGGTAGGAGAGCTGGACGAAAGCGTGCCGAGGCCTGGTCCACCGGCGGATGAGTTCACAAAAGGCTCCTGGGATTGTAAGGGAGAAGATACTGCCAGAGGAGAAACTTGCCCTCCCAGTTGACCAAGAGCTAAGCTATTCAATGCTAGTCCAAGACTGGGGCTGACGGGATTCTGGAGACTAGCTAAGGGCAAATTGCCGAGCGGAGGCGACTGAGCATTAGGCTGATACTGTGTGCCTTTCAGATTCAGCAACGCCGCTCGTGCCATCGTCAAACGGGCCGGTGATTGTTCGTCCTCCCGGGTGTGCCGCTCTGTGCGCTGAAGGGTCTACTATCAATACACAGAGACCGAGCAAATGATGCACTTTATGCTCACCCTCAGCTCCCGCTGTTCTGCAGTATCCGCGAATCTAACGGAGATCCTGCAACCAGCGTCATTCCATCCCCTGACTAGTCGACCATGAAGACGTTCAATGATGTCTTCCGCAGCCTGGCGATTTTCGAGACTGATGGGACCGTAAGCAGTGCGGTGTATGCATTAGTGTCAATGATAACTCACCGAACAAACGCGATGATTCTCGGAGGGCTACTCAAGCGGGTATGAAAGAACCGCGAACTCATGATACGATACGGAGTAACCAAAGCCCGAAGGGTCTCCTCGTTGATACAGAGAGGAAGACCTTCCATGTAGAGATTGGTTGATGCCGTATCGCGAAGCTGTTCCATCTTGGCTTTGAAGGAGTCCGCGGGTCCGGTGTTGCATGCAGAGGGAGCGGTAGCGTAGTCGGTGCCGGGAATCTTGTGGACTTGCTGGAAAAGTCGGATATTAGCATAGCCTTTGCCGTAGATGAATTGATTTTACCTTTGAGAACGATGGGTGTAGGTTACGATACTTCCGAAGAGACTCGATGCACTGTTCTGCCGCATCCAGCCGCTCGAAACTGAGTTGGACCGAATGAGTAATGGCGCCGTAGACAAACGTTTGAAGTCTCACTCACAGAACAAAACCATATCCACTATAGCAGCCGACACGGAATGCAAATGGTCAGATCTTGCCGTCTTAACGTTGAAACAGATCATAGCATAACTTAACAGAGCAACGCGCGAATTCCAGACGAAGACACCATGATGTAGCGCTCAGTACTCAACGTTCAACGCTCCACCAAACGCGTTCCATCGATGAACCTATAATGATACGACCGTATAACACGATACTCACGATGGTTTGTCGCTCACGTGCCGGGTGAAGGTGCGCACACTCAAGACGTTGCCAAACGGACGGGTCATGGCGAGCAAGTCCTCTTCAGGGAAGTTGGGAGGAAGTCCGTTGATGTAGACGTTCGGCGGCTGCGTGCTGCCATCTTGACTCTCAGTTAACGCGGGCGCTGGATCCTGTGCGCACACGGGGCGTGCAGCAGCAGGAACAAACGCAGGAGGGAGTCCATTAGGTTGCACTGTACGCAAGGATACGCCCTGTGGAGGTGCTGAAACGAATTAGAGACGCCATCGGTAACGCGTCGAATTCGAAGTGAACTCACTCGGGCTATCGCGTTCAAGCGCACGGTATACAGCAGCACCCTCACCATCGGTAACGGACGGAGAAGATTGGACGGGGACAGACGCGCTGTCAACGTCGGCGGAGAGATCGTGGATGTCGATAGGTGTATCTATGAGGCGAGACTGAAACTGAGGCGCGGAAGCAGAGAGTGTAGAGGAAAGAGAGAGGGCAGAGGACGTGTTCGGGCTAGGGTTCGAAAGCGGAGACGATGCGGCATTAGGCGCGACGCGAGACTCAGAATCTGGAGGCGTAGGGGGTGCGTGAGACATGCAGGAGGATGCGGGCGGAGTCGACGGCGTGTCGCAGGGGGAACGAGGGAAAGCGGAAGAGAGCGACGGAGAGCGACGAGGAGAAAGCTGTGCGAGAGCGGGAGAACCAGACATGACGTAGCGAGGCCTAGAGGGGGGCAGAGATGCGAAAAGAGCTGTTGCAAAAGAGGTATTAAGAGTGGAAGGAAGAGGGCAGAGAAGTAGGATGCAGCGAATAGCTGTACTCGGGAGGATGTCGGCTTTCGGACGCGAGAGGGAATATTTACGGGTATTCGGTAAGCTTGTACTTGTCGATTAGGGTTGGGCCGAGGCGGGAAGACGTGGGTGCAGACGGGGGAAGAAGGGCGGGGGGCGGGGGAGGGGCGGTATATATACCTGGGAGCGGAGGACAGGCCGTCCATCACGCCCGTCTTCTGTTCGACAGCCCCAGCTGCGTCCATGCCACACCTTCGTCCAGATCGGGAAGAGCGATAGCATGGGCGCACCGCTTCGGGCAGGACCAGACGCCAGCAGGCGGCGCACAGACGATCCTCCGTCCACAAGCACGCGCAGTGCGTCCACGCACCTTGTCCGGCCCTTCGAGTCGAGTGGCACTCGTCCACCTTCTGCGCGGCCCCCGCACGAGCCACGACGCGTCGAGACCCCCCTCTGCGGCAGTACGAGGAAAGGTGCCCCCGGGGTCTTCCACGCCTGCTGAGCCTGCGCCGGTGACGCGTCGGTGCGCCTCTTCACGTCCCAGGACATATTAACCTCAAGGTTCAAGTTCCACCAACATGCTCGCCCAATTCAGGCAACCGGCGTACTTAGACGCCCGGACATGACGACGCCGCCGCCGGCACACCCTCCTCCGGCTCCCACAGCTTGCTCTCCGCTCCTTGGGACCCCGGCTCTCCGCCAGGTCTCCCTGAGCATCATTCTCCGGATTCGACCTTTGACGCGGCCTGGGATGTCCCGGCCATTTGTCCCAACAAAGGAGCGTCTCTGATTTGGAGGTCTCTACTCCGGATGTGAAGACTGTCATATGTCCCGATCTGTCTCGATCGCAGCTTCTGCGTTAGATCTTCCTGCGTTGTCCTCGACGGCACCAAGTTCCCTCAGCACGCCGACAGATCCAGCTCAAGGCCTGTGATCGTCCGCCATACCGAACGGGGCACGGTTCGGGCCCGCCGGGACACGTGTACGGTGGCAACCTCTGTTCGTGTGGTCTTACTACCCGAAATTCAAGCCGTCGAGGACTCTAGTACTCAATCGCCCAGGGAAAAACATATGCAGCTTGCTACCGCGGAGTGAATCGTAGGAAATGTTTCTCGGACTCCGATTGACAGTATATGATCGTCTTTTCGCTTCATGATCCAGAGCGAGATATCTAGAGACGAATTGATGTAAAGTGGAACACAGGAGCGGTAAATGTCGGGAAAATGCTAGCACCACCAACTCATGAGTGGCCCTTTATCACAAGAAACGAGTTCTTAGTGGTATGGTATGTCACTCTTACCTGAATACTGATATTTCATTGTTCCGGTGTGCCTGCCTAGCTCAATCGGCCAGAGCGTCAGACTTTTATCCGCTCCGCGGTGACGGGCATCTGAAGGCTGCGAGTTCGACCCTCGCGGTGGGCTAAAGTACTTTTTTCCCGAGCGCGACGCCACGTTTGCCACAAAGTCTAAGTCGATTCCATGACACATATAGCAACAGGTCGTTCAATAGCCTCGTGTCTGTTTCCATTAGCCGACGGTTCGAGACAAACTTCCTATTTTGCTGATATAAGCGACCATCGCCATATCAGGGCTCCCGATTACGGCAAAGTCCATCGGAGCAAGCACAAAATGGCGCGGCTGATATGCGTTTGTTTGTGTCACTTTGCCCTAAAGTTCCCTATCTTGGCTAGTCTTGACGCAATCGTAGATCGCTCGGTTCTCGCGCGCCTTCGCAACCATTAGGCGCCAAGGACTGTGTCGATTGCCTCCATCCGGCCATACTTGTCTTCCTCGATTGCCTCTCGGGAAGGGGATATATACCGGCTGCAGCGAGCACAATGTCGTCCTCATCCGTCCTCCAGCCCTTCGAGCCCTCCAAGTCCTCCTCCCGCATCACCTAGCAAGTCGCCCGCCTCAGCCACCACAATGCCTGCCTCCGTCGCCTCATCCAACAACACCTCCCCTGCCCGCCCCTCCATCTTCGGTCTCTTCGACCGCGCGGCCACCCCTGAAATCGACGTCGAGGCGCAGGTGCCTCAGCCATCTCCTGCTCGCACACACCCCACGCGTTCGAGCGCGTCCCGGTCCGTCGACGACTCGAACGCTTCGGTCCCGATCGACGATTTCTTTGGCGTTTCGCGTCGCACCCCGAGCCCTAGCCTGACGGGGACGCGGGACAGCCGACACGACGATGTGCACATGCCTACGCTGGTGGACGTGGAGGCGCTGCCGCCTCCGTACTCGCAGTCGATGGAGCCGCCTGCGTATACGCAGGTGTCGGACCAGCCGACGCTTGCGATGTACCTCTTCAAGTTTGGTTTCCGTGAGTGCCCTTCCTTCGTCCTTTCTGGAGCGAACTCGGTGTTGATACGTTCGCGCGTCGCAGTGTTCCCGCTGTTCTGGGTTGCCGGGGCGTTCATCCTTATGTCGCCGCTGCAAGCGCCGCCGGACTGGGAGACGACGAAGCCGGAGTATGAGCGGCAGGAGATGATTGAGTCTATGAGGCGGACGGAGGTGAAGTGGGCGCGGCGGTGTCTTGTTGCGCTGCTGGTGGTCTGCCTGGCTGCTGCTGCGGTCGTCCTCACCCCTCTCCTCGTCATGCGCTCATGAACCGAACCCACGAAACGACCACAAAACACCTCGTCTCACTTATCATGCCAACTACGACAACCACACCGCAAAAGCAACAATCATTCATGCCCACGACACGCCCCACGAACTCGGCCACAATCAACCAGCGCCGCCCCACTCCTTCTCCTGCCGGGCAGCGCCCTGCCTCGAACTCTATTCTCCCTCCTTCCTTCCGTATCGTTATTCGCACTCTGTATTATTATTGCTATTTGTATCGATAGGAATGTTAACGAACTCATTGCATCGGGATCGGCTGTGGGTGTGCGTCAAGATACGTTCTCCGTGTTGCGGCGATTGTTAGTCCTACGTTAGGCTAGAACGATGTGTGATGGGGGTGCAGAGGTCCCCCGTGGGAACGTCGGAGTCTGAACTCCGAAGGGCGAAATCGCCAGCGTCTAGCTGAGGTTCAAGTACTCTCCACGCCTCTCTGAGACAACGACGTTTCGTATGCCCTGTGTGATACGGGAATGAAAAAAAAAACGCGTTACAAAGTGATCCAATAACAATCTCGGGCCCTTGAGCTTTTTTCTGTGTTTTATGGGTGTCTTCATCGTCGCAGACAAGTGCGTCTGAAGGCGATTTAAACTCCGATAGACCTCTGCACCCCTCCTCACACATCGTTCCAGCCTCTATTTGGGGAACGACTGTCTTCCTGCGAACTAGAGGCTGGCTTGCGAGCCTAGTCCTACGTGCACATCATTGGGACAGACAGGTACGCAGTTCACTCGTCATCCTATGAGGCGTTAGCTGATACGCTCTGTAGGTCATCGCAAGTATCCAAGCGTGGGATCGCCTTCCTTCGGTGGCTTTTGGAAGGTCAATCATCGGCACCGGCGTATCCTCCAGAAGGGCGGTGGGTGGAGCGCACGAAAGCTCGACCGAGATCCGGGAAACGAGCAAACATCTGATCCCTTTGTCGTCCATTCGTGCTGTGCATTCATAACGTTCTTTTCGATAGGAGCCTATCCCGCACGCGCGGCGAATTCTTACTAGCACTCGAGGCCACACGCTGCGACCCTCCTCCTGGCATGGAACCGGCCTCTCACGCGAAGGCGTCCCAGTTCGTTATCTGCCCGGCCAAAAGCGTAGCCATTACCACGGCCCATGCCCGCCGCCCCACACGGCGGCCACACAGGGACGCCAATGTGCGTTGTGCCCACTCGTTTGTCGTATCGGCCGCAGGTGCGCTGGCGCTTGGGGTTGCAACGTTGCTTCCTTTGCGCCGTCCTGTGACCACCAGCTGAGGCGTTCTTCGCGCTTCTTCGCGGAGCGGAGCGCGAAGCATTCACCTTCTATGTGCCGATGAGATCGATCCCGTGTGGTTGCGACGTCATAGGAAACTGACGCGGACGCCTCGGCGGAGGGCTGATGCGAGCTTGTGCGTATATAATGCCACGTCTGGCCAACATTTCACCCCCAAGTGTTCGTTCATCCCGTCGAACATGGACAGTATACTTCCCTCTTCTTGGACTCGCACTCTCGTGGTCGTGGCAGTTCTCTTGTTGTGTAAGTACGTCTATCGGGCCACACGTAGACGTCATCCCCTCCCTCCGGGACCGAACGGGCTCCCTCTCATCGGTAATGCTCTGGACATGCCGACGCGCGACCTAGGACGGGATTTCCGCGGCCTTTGCGCAAAGTACGGTGCGTCCGTGTCACCTCATTGAGATTCCTGCTCTCTAGCTCACTGTCATAATGAAAGGTGATGTTATATACATGAACGTCCTCGGACAGCCTATGGTCATCTTGGGCTCTTACAAAGCCCTGTACGAGCTACTGGAAGTAAGGTCTGCAATATCTTCGGACAGACCCCCGTCGCCTATGGCAGAACTGTACGTGCATTGGCAGTCCTCTGGTAGCGCCAGCTGTCTAATACAACGTGCATATCGCCTTCAGGACCGGGATCAGTCCATGGGACTTCGTCCATGAGGGCTATAACGACCGCTGGAGGACGCGTCGGCGCGCGTTCCACCAGCTCTTCTACACGAACACGATCAAAGGCTACCGCCCGACACAACTGCGCCACACGCAGCGGTTCCTCCAGAAGCTCACCGAACACCCCGACAACTTCATCGGCCACGTTCGGCAGTGAGTCCTCCCTTTAATGCGCCAACTTGATGTCATTTCGACCCACCCACTGCGCGTAGCTACTTCGGGTCGGCCATCATGAACATAGTGTACGGGATACAGACCGCGGACGACGAGAACGACAAGTATCTCCTCATGGCCCGGAAGACTATGGACGTCGCCACCGAGTTCCTGGTCCCGGGCCGGTACATGGTCGAAGTTATCCACTCGCTGCGCCACCTTCCGAGCTGGTTCCCCGGGGCGGGTTTCAAACGATGGGCTCTGTCTAAGCGAAAGGTTGTGCTCGCCTTGCGGAATGTTCCCTTCGACGTGGTGAAGGAAGAGATGGTGAGAGTTATAGTCGACATACCGCTGTCGGTGGGATCTAGGCTGACTCGAAGTACGCAGGCTAACGGAACCGCGCGGCCGTCTATCGCTGCGTCCCTCCTTGAGAAGCAAGCTGAGCTAGACGACGCGGCTACGGCAGAACATGAGGAGGTAGCTAGAGACATAACTGCCTTGGCTTACGTTAGTACGTCGCATCTCTCTCAGCGCTCAATAGCATTAATCACAGCCAACGTTATCTGTTTTCGAAAGCCGGCGCAGACACCGTCAGTCAAAATTCCTGTCCACTTACGGATTTTGCTTACACCCTGTCTATCAGACGTTCTCTAGTGTTGTGGCATTCTTCCTCGCGATGACGAACTTTCCCGAAGTTCAGGCAAAGGCCCAAGCGGAACTCGACGCCGTGGTCGGTCCCGGACGTCTCCCTCATTTCGACGATCGTCCTTCCCTTCCCTACATCAACGCGCTGGTGAAAGAATGCCTCCGATGGCACATCGTCGTGCCGCTCAGCCTCCCGCACCGAACCACCGAGGACGAGGTCTACAATGGGTACTTTATACCGAAAGGCACTCTCATCCTTTCAAACACCTGGTGAGTTTCGCATTCATCTCTCAGCCAATCCCCGATCGTCTCATCTTGTTCTAGGGCTTTATCACGCGACCCGGAAGAATATCCCGACCCAGAAGCGTTCATGCCCGAGCGCTTCTTGGACTCGAAAACGAGAGATCCCGCGACCTTCATCTTCGGGGCCGGGCGCAGGTACGTCCTTCAAAGTGTCGATCTCTATAGATAACGCTATCTAAACTGGTCTCCACAGGATCTGTGCTGGACGCCACTTCGCGGATGCTTCGCTCTTCATCATCGTCGCATCGGTCCTGCACACGCTGACCATCGCACCACCGCTCGACGATTCGGGAAAGCCCGTCAAAGTCGAGCCCAAGGTCACGACGCATATGCTCCTGTCGTGAGTCTTGCGCCGTCCTCTTCACCTTAGACGACGCTGAGTCGCATCGTGTATCGTGTAGTTACCCTGAGCCCTTCAAGTGCCGTATTAAGCCTCGTTCGGCGCAGGCAGAAGCGCTGATCTGGGCCGAGGGACTCGTCCATGAGTGAAAATGAGTAGGGCGCTCGATTTTAGTGGCTCCAGGTCGACTATTTGTATAATTTTGCACCGCTCAGGCTCGAACCCGAGAGGGCCGGAGCGGCAGGACTATACGGTTTCGCCCGTGCGAAGGGGCTCATCAGAGGGCTTAACCGCTGCCCTAACCGCGCCTGTGACAGAGCTGCACTACCCAACGTAGGCTGCAGAGGGGGAGTATGATCACATGCCACTGCGGGCCATGTGACTGCCGCGGCCGGCCGCTGCGGGCCCGGCCCGG